CAATCAGAATTAAATATATTTTCATCATAAATGCTAAAATCTTACCGCATAATGTAAGTTTTTAAAATCAAAGTTGGTATAAAAGCACGCTTTTCGAATATATATTGAAACTAAAAATAATAGGTGGAAGATTTAAAATGATAGTCTACATGTATCTAAACAATTGGTCTCACAGTTCAGATCACACATTTTCTAATTAGCAACTGTTTTTTGTGTTCTTTAAAGCTCATTTTTTTAACCCCCCCCCCCTGCCTACGCCACTGCAATGGAATATATAATGCATTATATTGACAACAAATAAGTTGCTTGAATAATCAGTTAAAAACCCCCGTGGAATAACACTATAACACCATTGGAGTAGTCCTTGTTTTCGAACATTTGTACAATTTGCATATGATATACAATTCTTTTAAGTTATTTTTTTAAAATTACAAAACAACATTTTTACAGCACACAATACAAGTTGTGACGCAAAAACATTACAGTGTTTCTTACAACAGTTGTGCAATGCTTTTGAAAAATATTCAAACAAGGAAGAGATTTGTGAGTTTATGACAAGACTGAAGAGATCTAATTGCACGCAAAGACACACAGAAAGCCAAACATTTGCGACATGTTTTACTTCGAGGTTAAGTAAAAACTTGTACTTTCCCATTGAAAAAGGTAAGAGACTATTTAAAAAAATAAATTTAAAAAAAAAATGCGTAGTGTAGAGTTAATCGACATCGTGCAGAATAAGACGTTTTCCTTTTTACAGCGAAAAGTATTGCTTAAAAGGTGTTAACAAATATTTCTTATTTGTCAATACCAACTTGCCAAATGGCTCTAGATAACATTTTGCGAAACTAATTTTTGAACGAATTAAAATATTGCAAATATTTTAAAATATAGGTGATTTTAGTTTCTAATTTTTTTTGTAATCTTAATAATCTTTCTGTTTTTCAAAGTGACGATAGTAAATCCAATTATGTAAACGTTCGTGCCATAAATTATTTGTCAAGCATAATTAGGGCCCCATAATACAGTATTTACAGAAAGGGATACGACACAGAAGAGGTGCTATCTTTTTGTACACGGTACTTTTTATTTGCTTTCCATTGGTTTTTGGGGGCGGGGGATGAAGGGAAGGGGGCAAACGGACACACAACAAAATCGAACTCTAATTTTGCAAATCAATATATTTATAGATTTACTTACCTAAAGAATCCGTAGAGAAATAAAAAAAAAACAATTTCGTACTTTTGGCGTCAATTATCCCAACACTGGTAATGGTGTAGACAAAAATTTGAAAAATCTCCACGCAATTTATACGAAAAACGAGACTCTCTCACGTGTTATACTTAAGTGTGAGTATTGGTTACTTAAAAATATTTAATCAATGAAATGAATGTTCCATTGGCTATTTTTAAAAACCCAATAAATAGCTAATTTGTTCTCGAAATGGGAGGCGATTCAAAATTAAAATATTTAAATAATTGAACACAGCGATCCTCGGATTTCCGATATTGCAAGTCGTTATACAACACCATCTAACAGCAAGAATAGACACGCCGACCATTGAGGATTCGTCAAGTAGATAGTGTAGCTGTTACTGTTACTTTTCTTTTGTAGGATTAGTACATCAACAGCTACAAAACCCTGATGCATCACGCATCGACGGCATTACCATTTATTGTGCGTTGATCACCTGACCAGCCATCCCCATACCATCCACACCCCCCCTACCTCTACGTCATTGTGCCAATCTACATCATATATTAAAATATATAGACGACTTCATTTAAAATACATTCCTGAGTCGAAAAAACATAGTTTTGCAATCTTGTCTGTATGTCAGTGTGTGTGTGTGTGTAAAGACAGTAATTTTAATACAGTTACACTTAAATGTATGAAATTTCATATATAATTTTAATATATAGCTATTATAAGTATGAAAAACAGTAGATTTTATTATTACATTGTAAGGAGTATTAGTTAATAATATATAAAGTTAACTTTAATCATGATTGAGTAATTGATTTTCTTTATCTAATAAATTATTTTTAAAATATTTACATAATTCTATGAAGAAGTCAGATTTGTAGACGGTGAGAACTTGGAGAGCTGGATCCATTGCACCAAACACTCTCAACATACAGACTTTATATCCGTGCCCAGCTTTAGCCTCGACCATCTGCCTGAACCCTTCAAGGATGCTGACATTGTCAGGGCCATCGTTTTGTTGGCAGGACTGACAGTTAAAATACAAACGTTCTGCGCTAGTGAGGCCAGACCAGACAGCCATAACGGCATACCCTACCCCAGGTACAGCCCCTCTCAAATTGTTTCTAGACTGGGGACAGGCAAAATACATTCCATCAGTGTTTACCCAGAGGATGGGGAAGAACATTGCCGGTGTAAGACATGTGAAAAAGATCAAACCATTACCAAAGCATGGGGCAAAGTGTCGATTCTTACAGCCAAGCATGTTGTGTTTGATGAAGTTGAAGCTAAGAGTACACGTTGTTTTTGGGCGTACGACAAGGAAAACTGTACTTCGAAGATATTTGAAGGTATCGGCATTAGGAAAACAGCCCTCGAATATGATATGTGTTTATTTGAATGCGCCACACATCAGATAGGTTTGTTAAAGAGTTTAAAGGTCACGCTAGAGAGTTACACGTCATTGTGTTCACGAGTTTACGAAAAATTTAAGCATAAACCGGATAAAAACTTGGCTATTGTAGTCTCCCATCCTCATGGGTGGGCCAAGCATGTCTCCATTGGGAAGGTTGTTACAAAAGATAAACTGGAGAACGAAGATACCAGATACACCTATGACGCCCACACCTGCCCAGGGTGCAGTGGCGCACCTGTGTATGTGCTGGAGAAGAAATATGGTTGGTGGACTACACACCTGCATAGTGCATCAATAACTGGGGGTAGTATCAGTGGGAGGGCGTGGATGTAAATGGTGGACCACACACCTTCATAGTGCATCAATAACTGGGGGTAGTATCAGTGGGAGGGCGTGGATGTAAATGGTGGAGGCATCAGTGGATGTAAATGGTGGAGGCATCAGTGAATGTAAATGGTGGAGGCTTCACTGGAAGAGTGTGGATGTAAATTGTGAGACATCAGGGGAAGGGTGTAGATGTAAATGGTGGAGGCATCATTTGAAGGGGTTGTTGATATTTACATCACTGATGAAAAATCAATGGTATATTATTATTATCTATTGGATCCGTCTTTATGAGACAGTTTTGTTTGCTTTTACTTTTCATTAATGTTTATTTGTAGAATTATCTAAGTATTTAATAGTATGGTTTGAGTTAGATTTGATACACATTTTGAATACATTTTTGTTAGAAGTTTTGAAGATTTATAAGTTGATAATTATTATTACATTTATTTCGTGTTTGAAGCTTTTTGAAAGCTCTGGTGGGCAACCATTGTGATTATGATAATTGTTTTGCACAAGAACGTAAAGCACTTCCATTGATATATATATATATATATATATATATATATATATATATATATATATATATATATATATATATACCAATATAAATTATATTATATATGTAGAAATAAAAATTGTATATTTTGATATATTTTACTATAGTTAAATCATTCCAGAAATTATTGATCGTGTGTTTGTACATGGGATTCCTAGGACACAAAACAAGGTTGAGGGGTGGCACAGGAGGTGGCAGGTAATTGTAGGGAAGGATCACCCTGGAGTCTTTTGTTTGCTAAACAAACTAAAGCAGGAACAAGGTAGAGATGAAGTAGAGATGGAGGCAATATTGCTTGGAGAGCCAGCAAGCAAGCGAAAAAAAACAATATTTACAGATAGAGGACAGGATAACAAATGTAATTGCAGAAAGGGGAAACAGAACTACACTTGAATTTTTGCGTGGCGTCGCGTACAATTTGTCATTCTAGGCCCTATTTTTTTCTATTTTGTAATATACTTTTATCATTATGTAACTGGTTTTCAGTAAAAATTAAACATGTCTGTAATTGTAATTTGTTGTTTTATAAAACATGTCGGCCTTTTGTCTTGTCGGCCTTTTGGATGTCGGCCTTTAGTCTTGTCGGCCTTTTGTCTTGTCGGCCTTTTGGATGTAGGCCTTTTGGAAGTCGGCCTTTTGTCTTGTCGGCCTTTTGTCTTGTCGGCCTTTTGTCCATGTCGGCCTTTTGTCCGTTTCGGCCTTTTGTCTATGTCGGCCTTTTGTCCGGATCCCCTTCTTTACCTCATTGTAGTATCCTGGGAGAATATTCCATGCCTCAGATGCGGCACTTATTTCAGAGCTGTCCAAGTATGCAGCAAAACGTGCATGTTTTTCTGGACATCCAAATTTCCTAACTTTCTCCTGAGTTCTTTGAACTTACCACTCCAAAAATGTTTGCTTTTCTTATCCAGCCATTTCATTTGAAGCGAACCAGTATCAATTCCAAATGGCTCAATGTTGATCTATGTGTTGAAAGGTCTACTATGAACGTCAAAGTGTACTTGCATTTGTTTTGAATTGCTCAAATCGCTCAGGAATCCATCCTTCATTTTGTTTATTGTAATGCTGAAGTAATTCATGTTAAAAGTAGCATTGGTTTCATCGTGATATTTTGTATCGCTCTCTGTGTATTCAACAAAAAAATAGTTTTTTTTCCAAAATAATCCACTTCTTCAAGCAAGGCATAGGCTGGGCTCTCTTTTCCCTACAGTTTAACATTTAGCTGTTTTATTTTCTTTGTAATATCCACAATGAAGTTGAATGTTTCGATTCGGAAAGGACAATTTAATAGAAAGTACATTGAAATAGGAAGTAAATAAATAGTCTAATTGGATAGCGAGTGCCTATTATTTATATTTATTATTGTATCGTTCATCAGCGAATGTTGCAGAACAATATTTTTAAAAGTTTCGAAAATAAAATAATCTATATATATAATTCTCCTCTTCGAGCCGTTAGAAAACAAGCTGCAAACGCTCTCCCTACCTCCCCACCCCTACATGGTTTTAGTGAGCTGTGTTCACTCTAAATGTTTACAAGCAGAGCCAACGATTTTAAACGTAGGGGGGGGGGGGGAGGGGGGGAAGGAAGGGGGGGGGGGGTTATGGTCCTTAACGAGCTACTTATAGTGTTTTAAAGAAATATTTTCAGTGTCAGCGTTGGTACTGTCGAATTCACAAATTATGAATTATTGAAAATTAGAAACAACTAAATAGCGGCGTATGTTATGCCGCGGGCCGGCTCGTATATATATAATTCTCTTCTGGGAGCCGTTAGAAAACAAGCTGCAAGCGCCTCCTTGCAGTCCCCTCTCTTTCTCTCTATCACTATCACTACCACCCCCACCCCCACATTGTCTGGTGAGCTGTGGTCACGCTAAATGTTTACAAAGCTAAATGTTTACAAATCGTAGAGCCGTAGAGCCGGGTTTCTATTAGGGGCAGATAATTTAGTTCGATTTTAAACTTACAGGAGGTAACTAAGAAATAACTAAGAGGAGGCTGCTTTCACGGGGGGGGGGGGGGTGTAGGGTCGGGGTTAGGGGAAAAGGGGGGGGGGGGGGTTAGTGTTTTAAAGCAAATATTTTCAGTGGCAGCATTGGTACTGTCGAATTCACAAATTATGAATTACTGAAAACTAGAAAATAAAACAACTAAATAGCGGCGTATGATACGCTGCGGGTCGGCTCGTTATTAATATTTGTGCATGGAGCTGAAGAGCCGCATCTTGACATCAAACTGCTTTATGATGTGTTTGATTCTATTTGTTTGTTACTCAAAATGGCAGCAATTGTAAACAATCCAAACATTTAGTTGTATCATTTTTTTTAGTATAAATAATCATTGCACTAGAAATAAATAATTGTTTTTTTTGTTATATTCAATATAAAAAACAGCAGCTTAAAATTCAAGTTTATGTATTGCTAGATTAAAATGCTACCCGCTATGAAAGCTAGTGGACAGTTTGATTGTTATGGTATTGATGGTTTGTTTTCAAGATAATATTAATAAAGTTTGTTCAAAAGCTATTTGTGTTTTCATAATTATGCTTAATTTAGTATGCAAGTCTTGTAGCTAGAGCTCTTGGATGATGATCATTGTACACATGAGTTATTTGTTATAATTGCTGAAACCATACTAGCTGTTCCAACAATTTTAATAAGATGTTTTATTATAGATCTAACTAATATGACTATTTTTCTGTCTTGTTTCGATAACTAACGGTAATAAAGAATTTTCATTATTTATTTTCTTTCCATCAAAATTTTCCACAAGTTAGTGCACACCATATATTTGGTGTGATATAAAAACACCATTTATATGAGTTAATGGGTACATAAATTACTAATTTACAATGATATGCTCTTTCATCCAATGAAATACATTCTTACAAAATAAAGGTAGTATTTATCCAATCAACAGTTCTTTATTTTTATCACACAATAAATACATTTTGAACCAGGTGATTTATAATCTTAATCTCATAATTTTAAATATACTTTTTTTTTACTGCATCACATATTAAAACTAACTACATCACTAATGCAATAGTGGCATGGCTAAAGACAAAAGTATTATTTTAAAAAAAAATAGCACAAGGTAAATCATGTAGATGAGTATAATGCTTTTAAAAATCATTTTTAGGGAATCGTTTATCAGATCAAGTATTAGTTCCTAGTCCTAGGTAATGATTAATCTGGGGATTGTTTGAATGTACACTAATAACCACAATACATATTAGAATAGGATTAGGTTTGTGGGGGGGGGGGGGGGGGGGGGGTTACACTAATTGACATTTAAAAGGTGGTGGAATCTAAAAGAAAAACTTCTAACTTATGATAAACCAGCATACTGGGGAGGGGGTGGGGGGTCGTGATCGGATGGTAGAGTTCACGGTAGCTGACACGAAATTCTCTCGTTTGGATCCAGAGAAATAGGTGAACTTGGGCATGAAAGGGGAAATATGATATTTAATGTAACATTTGTGTACAGAGTTTCTTCCAGGCATCTCTTCGGGGGGGGGGGGGGGGCCTAAGCCCGAAATGAAATTTACATAATTTATATAGAAAATATATACTTTTAACAGTGTCCGCCCCCCCGAAGAAAGTTTACCGCCCCCCTCCGAAAATTTCAAGTGCCCCCCCCCCCTGGAGAAAAAAGTCTGGAAGAAACACTGTTTGTGTAGTTGTTTAAAACAAGCTACGCCTTCTAACTAATTAGCACTTGCCAAACTATACTACCTATAATAAGTGCTAAGCCACCCAGGCTACTCCCAGGGGCAGAACTATTATGCCGCCAGACCCCGCAATGAGGGGGGGGGGGCAGGACGTTTAGGGGCCCTATTCCGACAAAAAATATTTGTTTTTACAAATAATGCTTTTTGTGCACCTCGATAGTGGTTTTATAAAAACAAACAGGTATACTATAGCAGTGATTGTTCTACAGTAACTAAAACTCACTGTTGCGTAGAAAAATATTTTAAAATCTACAAGAGCTGTAGGGTAGTTTGAAAGATAGGCAATCGTTCGGACTACTTCCATGACTTACTGCCCTTCTTTAAAATAATGGTGTCAATAAAGCTCATTTAAATAGTTTTGTACTAAGTAAATTTAAAAGCAATTGATTCTCTTAATTCCTATTTAAATAAGGCATACTAAAGAACTCTTTGGCTATAAAAATAAAATAATTCGAAATTAATAATATACTTACAAAAAAAATCATAAAAATAAACATAACACGAGAAACCATTGAAAAATTCAAGCTTACGTGTTTATATACTTTTGACCAGCTAGTTTTATTAAATTTTTTCATTTGTAGTTATAGGTACATAAAAATGCATTCCAAAGAATTGTAAAACACGATTAGTTAAGTTATGAAATTAGTTTAAACCAAATTTGTCTGGTTTGTTTTATCAGGGGGGTGGTTATACATGACAATGAAATAGATTAGATTACTCAGTAAATATTTTAAATTCATTGAAGCAGGCTACAGATATATATATATATATATATATATATATATATATATATATATATATATATATATATATATATATATATATATATATATACATATATAAGGGGACTCAATTTTATGTGCGGGGGAGTCTTTTTTTTTAGTTCCGCCACTGGCTACACCACTAATTAATTAGCGCTAACCCAACCAGGTAACACTACCACTAATTAGCACTAACCCACAAAGGCAGCACCACCACTAATTACTACTAACTCAACCAGCCATCACCACTAACATTACCACTAACCCAACCAACCCACACCACTAACCCAACCACCCCACACCACTAACATCACCAATAACCGAACCAGCCCACACCACTAACCCAACCAGGTAACACCACTAACTCAACCAGGTAACACCACTAACCGAACCAGGTAACACCACTAACCCAACCAGTCCACACCACTAACATTACCACTAACCCAACCAGGTAACACCACTAACCCAAC